CTTTGATTTGCAAAGTGTTTTGCAAAAAGTGAAAGTAGTCGTACATTATAGTTTTTAGTTTTTAGAGTATAGTCGTAAGACGTTTTTAATGTGAAACCAAATTTTCTCGCTCCATAAATCTATAGATTGTACATAAGAACAGGACAGGACTATATCCATAGCATGCTCTGACTATCGGGTGAGGCTTCAGAAAACACTAGATTTGCTTCTGTTGCAGATGTATTTACATACGTTTTTATGTTAAATTGCAGGTTATGACATCAATTCCCACTTTATCAACAAAACTTTACTGTCATAGTGTATGACGTCTGTTGTTGTTGTTTAGAGAAAGATTAGTACTTTGAGGGTCAATATTATTGGTCACTGATCGTGAGCATAACTGATGCCAAACTACTAATTCACTAGCCAATCACGTGCTGTGTCCAGTCATATTTACCCCATATTTTTGTTCAAATTTGGTAAACATTGGAAGACAAAAAGTATTTATATTGCTGATGAATGAATGTCAATATAAATTGTCTTTTTAGATATATGTTCATCTCTGCATCTGAGCAAGTTTCTTTTTTTTTTCTTTTTTTTAAGGTCAGACATGGTTGTTTTTGATATTTATCTTACATAACATCTTGATGGATTCATGCCTGATTTTCCCTGCAGCATTGTCAACAATGCCTGTCAGAGCAAGAACTGTGAGCATAACTTCAGCGTTACTGAAAGAAATCAGAGGGAGAGTGTTCTTTCGGAGCTGGGTCTTCTACCAGGAACAGATTGGGCCACTATTTGTATATGAGTAATATTAAAAGTACTGCTATGATAGGATTTATGAAATGAGTATGTACAGCAGCAGTCACATGAAAAGGCCTGGTTCAGAGTGCAGTGCTTGAAGCATATTCTCCAGCAGGGCAACAAAAAAAGTGTGGTTAACTCCCAGTGATCATGGTTTAAGATCAGAAAGTCCTGCATGTACCTGCTCGGTGTGAACAGCTCGCTGCACATGCTTCACAGACACCATAAAACTAGGTGATGAAAAGGTTGTTAGATTGACCACTTATTGGTAACATACTCACCAAGAGCTAACAGAGAAGGTGGAAACAGTCCAATACTAACAGGATAAAAGTACTGTAGGTCATTATTGTTGTTGTTGTTGTTGTTGTTGTTGTTGTTGTTGTTATCTACAGAATTATATACAGTATTGTAGCATGTGTGTGACTGCACTTCAATGTTTAAGGATAAAAGTAACATTAATGTTGGTGACAAATGTCAGGGGAGAGTTCATTTACGTTTATTTTAAATTGATTCAAGTAATATACAACCATATTTATTTTAAACTTTTGAATTCAGATTATATTTATGATGAAATTATTTTTTAATAAATTAATATACAATGACATTGTTTTAGACCTAAGACATTTGACAATAAGGAAATGGGGCAGTAGTGGCTTAGTGGTTAAGGAAGTGGACTTGGGTCTGGAAGGTTCCAAGTTACCACTGAGGTACTTTGAGCGCGGTGCCGTCCCCACACTGCTCCGTTGGTGCTTAAAGCTGCCCACTGTTCACTTTGGTGATGGGTTAAAAGCAGAGGTCACATTTGGTTGTGTGTAGCGGTGTGCTGTGTCACAATGACAGAAAGTAGTTCACTTTCACCTTCAAATGAAAATTCAACAAATAGTTTGTTCATTTTACAATGACGAGACATTATATTTAGTAGTGACCTTTCATTTTTTTCAGCTTGTAAAAAACACCTGTCATTATTGAGAACGTATAATTAGGTTTTAAAATATGGCATGTTGTAAATAGACCAGCTCTCTGTGACAGGTTGTTTGTAGGATTTACAGTTGCTGCAGGTGTAACACAATGTTATAGTAATAATGTCCTTTTACCAGAATCATCGCAGTAAAAATTACTCTGAATATTAGAATATTTTAAAGAGTCACAAGGGTTTAGAGTACTTGCAGTATAACATGGTGGCAACAAAATTTTAAGTAAAAAAAAAAACATCTAAAAATAATTTTAAAGATTTTAAACTGGCAGCAGTAAACAGTAGGGGAGATAGTTAGCAAAGTGGCTAACTGCAGTTTTTGCTAGTTAGAGATATTAGCTATAAATCACTTGAAAACTGCCTGCCCATTAATAAAAATTCCTTATTAATTAATTACCATTCTTTTGTGGCTGAAATGTAATTAAACCATTTGGCTCCATAAGTGCTAGCATTCTTAGCTGCTTCAGTATCTTCCCCTAAAAACACGGAGGGTCTGGTCTGGGTGTGCAGTTGTAAATACCAACCTTTTGACATTGTCGTAGTCTATATCGAACTAATAAAGCTGCTTATTAGCCAGAACATAAAGTCATCATTCAATCTATACTAATGACGTGGCCTAGATATTTTATTTCCTTGCATATTATGAGAGGAGTGTTACTCACATAAAAACCAGTGGAAACGAATTTCATACTCTTTCTTCTTCTTGCTATCATAGCCATACTCTTATGGTGTTTTTTTTTTTTTTAAGACCTGCCACATCCCAGCAGTGTATGCTTAAATAATGGTCTGTATTTGCTAGATGATTGAAGACAGAGTTCTGTAAATACACTGGTAGCCATTTAAGTACGAAGGCCGACTAACAGGTGTGTGTTGTTTTGACACCTGACATTAGGAAAGACTTGTTAATGTTGGTAACACAATGGCAACAATTCAGTGTTTCCATTGTCGGGCACATTTTTAGACATAACACCCACAGGGACAATAACACTGTTTGTGGTCTACAGCTGTAGTTCTGGAGCTACACTGAAGTCTGCAGCCACATCTTAAATTAGCAATACCATTAGCATGTACTCGGCTCAATGTGAGTTGTTCACATTTTTCCGAACTACACAAATAAGTGGACAAAATAATAATCATAAAAAAAACATAACATGTAACTTAGGGAACAATCATGGCTAGTTTTAGAAAGTTTTAGAAATCATTAGCAGTTGCTAGCACAGTTTCTGAAGCGGTGTCATATAAGTTTAGTCATATAATCCTTGACATTTTAACACAATTTTGACAAATGCCATTTTTGAACATGCTAAGTTCCAATGCTGTCTGAGAGCGGTGACCACAGTGATGATTAAAAGTAACCATTCTTTTGCAAAGGTAAATCCCTTTATGTAGTTTTCTAAAAAG